GGGGGGGGGGGGGAGGAAGGTGTTTTCTTAGCTGAAAATTACTAACTTGGATTAAAATGCCCAGTATGTTGAGTTAGCAGATGGAGAGCCTTCCTGGAATTTCCATTGGGTCTGTGTGAAGCAGCAAACCTGAGCTGCCTTGTCTTCATTGCTATTTTAACCTCCAGTAGCACGCCTGGGCCAACCACCCACGTTTAGAGACAACCTTTATTTGCAGTATAAACAATACCCATGTCACGATGGATAAAGGGCAGATCTGTGGGATTTCATATGGAAAAAGACAACTGCTTTTTCCAGCCACTGATTCCTAATAACCACCTGTCTTCTATTAGTGTCCTAAGCGAGGAGGTGGAATATGTCTGGGGGGGGTTAATGACTGACCAAAGAAAAGGAGCTGAAGGGAAGAAGGATCCTGGTTACCTGTTCTCTCTGCTCAGCAGGGAGGCCCCTGTGCACTAGAGAGAGAGAGGCTCCACTTTCATCTACATGAAGAGAAACCAGAAGTAAAGGTCTCTTTCAGGAGGGATAAGGGGTGTCCTAGAAAGCATTGAAGCAACAGACTGGGAAGGGAGAGGACGTCAGATCACAGAGGGGGTCAGTGCAATGACTTGCTTCTCAAACACAGAGCGAACAATCTTGTTGCTTAATCTAAACAAAAGTGATGAGTTGTAAGAGTGGTGAAAATGGCAAATAAAATCTAGAAAAGTGCATATAAAGAGGAATTGATGCTATTAAATCATTTAGGATGGATGTGTTTCAAATCTTGCTCACAGTTGAAGCTGTTTTACAGCTATAGCTGCACAGTTTTAACAAAATTGCAGAATCGCAACGTATCTGCCAGGGATTTATTTTAAGGATTGTAGGATAGTTTCACAAATTAACCTTAATAGACTCAACATGTTGTTGGGATCTGCACTCTTCAGTGATCTCCACTGCAGTTTTGTACACAAGAACCAACAATATGTGTTCATTTGTGTGCACATATGCAAACACATGAGACGGAAATGGTGCACACTCTCGTGCAGGATTATTCCCCAGCTCCACAGGCAGGCTCTCTACAGACTGCTCCTACAGGATGATACAATTCTTAACATTAGCATCATGGTATTCCTTTTCACTTCTCCCCAGAGATCTCTTATTTCCTCTGATCTGCCTCCTGTCTGTATTAGAAAGGAAAGACTACACTGCCCAGCACACTCCTGGTACTTGATCTCATTCCAAGCTTTGGGTGCTAATCCTGCCACCTCTTGTCTCTCCTCTTGGTGCATGTGGGTGTGTATGTACAGACATGCACATCTGCTAGTGGCATCCCTCCACTGGCTGTTTTCCCTGACCTGCTCTGTGTAAGGGAACAGGATTCTGGCTCATAGCTGGCTCCATAGCCCAGCTGCCAACATCATCTCTCACTCTTCTCCAGAAACTATATATTGCAATTCCACTTTAAACACATTTCTACATCAACAGTCAGTCCAGCAGTTCAAAGACCCTGGTTCCCAGGTGCTCCCATTCTCCTCACTGTGGAAGGACATTCTCTCCTGGAATTTGGCTACTGAAGTACTGGAAATGAGAAAAAAAAAAAAAAAAAAAAAAAACAAACCTAAACCTGGCTTTTTTCTTTGCCTGCTTCCAGCAGATAGCAACATTTAAAAAATAGGAACATTTAAAAAAATTCATCCCAAGCATAAATAATGAGCACTTCTGAAAATACTGGTTCTAAACTAGTAGAGATCAAACTTCTGAAATAGCCTCAATGGTTTTAGAAATGCTGTTAACTCTCCAGCTGTGGAGGGCAGAGCATGTGTTAGCACTCAGATGATGGCCTCAACAGTTCTCCTTGACTGCAGGGATAAGTCACACTGCAGAATGCTCTGGATGGTCCATGGGAAGGACAACATGCCCTTATGAACACAACAATTGTGACCATTTCTACTTCTTGAAAGATCTCTAATTCATCAGCAGTGTTTCAATGGAATAATGGCCACAAACCCTAGCAGCAATTAGAGAAATGTGTTTTGTTTTATTTATTTAATGCATAAGCACGAGCTTTTTAATGAACAGAAAGTGATGATGCACTGGCAGGATGATGGGGAAAAGGGAGGAAAGGGTATTGAAAGCTTTGAGCACTGATCTCCTCTCTGCTGCTTCTCTCAGACGTTTGCCCTCTCTGCCCGTGGTTCCACTGTGGAAGCCATATGGCTTCCAACACTCTTCTAAGTAGCCACTGAGAATTGTCTACAGTGGAATACTGCCAAAGCCCTTCCTGGTTTAATGACATGGGGAAGAGCACTGTGCTGTGCTCACCCAGCACAGACTCACTGCGTCCTTGGTTGTGATCCTGGAGCCAGCGAGCGATGCTGGGAATTGAACCATCAGTACCTCAAATACAGAAGTCGACATGTGCCAACCCCTGCTGCATTCAGCCTCTGTGCATGGCATATTAATGAGTCTTGAACTTGAGGTCCAACCTTCAAGCTTGCACAGAAGGAATTACCCAAAGACAACAAAAAAAAAGGCCTCTCTTCCTCCTATTTCCCTCTAAGCTTGCACCGTGTTTCGTCACTGAGTTTGTTCAACCCTTAAGCAGTAATCTTTTTTTTGGCCATAACATCACACCTCTTCATATATAACCACAACTTCCCTTGATTTAAAGATCTGAAAAAATAGCTTAAAAGATAGTCCAAACAAAGAGGATGTATAGTGGACAGATGACTTGGGGCTAACCCTCATACCCTATCCATAAATACCTGCTAAATGTTGGAGTTGGGATATGGAGCTAGATGAAGGTCTCTTCTGCCTGTTTTATGTCCCATGACACTGGGGAGCAGAAACATGTGGTAACAGTCTCAGTCTAAATGGGAAAGAGGAGGGTGCTCAACCCGGTGGCTGCATTCCCTCACGAGCACAAAGGAGCATTCCTAGGGATCCCATTAATGCCACGGGTGCCAGAAAGGGAGCCCAATACCTGCAGAGGTTGGTGATGCACTACAACTCCCAGCTTCATAGCCCAGCTTGGAACTGCTCAGTCTTATTTTATTTAAATTTCCTAATTTAGATGAAAGCCAGAGCCATCCACTAGTCAGCTAGAATGTCAGGTTCAGGGAAGTTTTGCAGCATTTCTTTTGGGCCGTGCAAATACCTGGTGTATAGTGAAGGCTGGGCTTCTTCTTTTCCCATAAACAATTTTTTTCCACAAGCACATTTGGCAGCAGATGCACGATACAGATGAAAAAAAAGCCCCTACAGAAGGATGCTCTCTTTCTTTGGAAAGGGTTGCACTTCTGGATGGAAATTTGACAAGCCATGAAAGCTGTGTCCTGCTGCAAATCTGTCCAAAAGTCAGGGAAAGGGACAGCTTGCAGAGGGTGAACAGAGCCAATGGAAAATGTAAATCTCCAGGACAGCATGTTTCTGTGGTGGTAAGAGGGAAGGACAACACACCAGTGACCCCAAAACCAGAGTCTGCAGCCTTCCTAGGCAAAGATAAAGGACCGAGCAAGCCTGTAAAAAAGTCACCCACTGAATTTTACTTCTGTCAAGAAACTAAATAAATGAACATATAGTGTTCATGAAATCTCACCTGTGAAACACTTTAGAAATTTAACTATTTAAAGCCTACAACAATCCCTGATTAAAACCTGAGGACAGCTCAGGAAGTTACAGAGGAAAAGTCACAAGTAGTACCCAGTCTCAAAGGCTATCCTGGACATGCATTAATTCAACAATTAATTTGTTATGTGTCTCAGGTCTGCAAATTCACATCTTCCTTTCCATAGGGAGTGTTCTGACTCCCCAGCTTGCTCAGTAGCAGCCCTGATGTTAGAGCAGATAAAATACGTGGTGGCAGCTGGTCACAGACAGTGACTCCAGCTCAGAGTTTCTGTGGCAACAAGCAACACTTTTTCAAATATCCCATCTCTTTCTCCAGTATATCACAAAACTCACTGCAAATTCTTACAAGGTAGCAAGAACAGACCTGAGTGCAATCCCACATATATGAACTATGATTTTTCCCCTACAGCTTTTACTTGACAGAAACCAACAAAAACCTCTCACTAATTTTCATGGGAACAAACATCACTTCACTATACAATTATATCAGCAATCCTGCAAAAAACAGCATATATAATCATTATTATCCTAAAGCAATACATGGCACAGCACAATGGACACACATTCCCTCAAGATCCAAATAACTTGATTTTATCAATGGTGAAGTTCTCAGAATTATGCTGGCAAGTACTGCTGTGATACCAAAACCAAAAAGCATCATCCTTCTATGAATAAGCTGCTCAGGTCCCAAAATAGTAACCAGAAATACATTCATTTTTAAGTATTTTAAAACACAGAAGAGATTTGCTTTTAACAAAGGCAAGAGCTGTTTGAGCGAGCTGTGACTGAGAAGGTCACAGGAGTCTCCTAAGTGGGAGTTGCTGATTGGACCTTCTTGGTCGTGCCTCTGTTTCAGCTTCTCTGGGTTGGGTACCAAACCAGGACCATCACATTTGTAGAGTCTTGCACTTTCAGAGAAAAACATGCAGTAAACCATCTTTACCATATTTAATAAAACAATAAACTTTGTGCTGACCTTTGGCAAGCGTTCGGGGTCACCAGGGTGCCGGGGGATAACCTTCTGTAACCTTTGGAAACCGTAGTCAATGGTGGGTTCGTTCAGAGCTGAAACAACAACAAACAACATTGTGATGTGACAAAGGCATCGCTGGACTGTGACAGCGGGCAAAGGCATTGAGAGACCAAGGCAGGATCACAGTCCCTTTTACCGAAACCAGCACAGTCTGTGAAATTTTGGTTCAAGCGCTATTCGAGGTCGTTTCTGGGGCTTTCCTTCAAACAGCAAACCAAACCTTACCACTTCAGCTCCTACAACAAGGTTGCTGGAAAAATTTGGGAATGTTGCATACATCTTCTAAATAGGAAGCAATTACTATCTCTGAAAGGCACAATGAAATTAATCTGATAAATACCCCATATGTAATGTTGGGTTTTCCTTCCTTATATATTATGAGGAAGGTCCTTTGTGATTGGAAGACCAAAGTAGTAAATATTCAGGAGTCTTTCTTGTTCCAAACTTGATTATAGATTTAATATGCTCCATGTGCAATGTTCACAAATAATTTTGTTGTGAAATACATGCATTTGTCTTGGCAGAAGCTTTATTTTTTACTCATCAACACTGACTTCAGCAGGCCAGGCTCCAATCAGCACTACACTGATATAAAAGACTTAATGAATTAAAAAGAAAAAAAAAACAAAACCAAACTATATTTTTTACTTCGTCTTTCTCTAGTCCTTGTCCAATAAAATGGAGGATAGAAATAGTGGAATTGGAACACTTTAATCTTCATGAAAATGCTGGTCTGCCTGCATTAATGGAAGCTCTGATTGTGTCAAGCCTTTAAGCACATGCTTATCTGTAAGCACATACTTAAACCCATTCGCTTTCAGCAAAGCAAATTTGAGCATATTATGTTTTTTATATGATTGCCTATAATTACAGGGGACTGCACTGAATGACCTTCTAGCTATATTTCCAGTCATATGATCACTTTAAAACTCAGATGTTAGTGAGACTTCAACATGTGCTTAAAATTTCCTAAGTGCTTTGGTGAACTGGAACAACAGTCAAGCATTCTTGAGCATCTTTAAACAACAGTGCATCTTGACTCTCCCATGCCAATAGAGATGGTGGAATTTTCCACAGCAATTTGTTTGCAATTTTTTGAGTTAAATGGGGAAAAAAAAAAAAAAAAAAAAAAAAAGGTAATTCCAGTGTGGATTTTTATATTTTCAGTCTTTTTTTTGGTGGGAAAAAATATATTTTTTTTTTTCATTTTTGAATCACTTTAAAGTTTTTCTTGTCTTAGCTTATTAACAACAAGCACAATTATTTCTTGCACAAGATCTGCTTGCTAATTTATGAATATATCTTACACTTTTATGAGGTTCTTATTATGAACTTTATTATTTGGTTAGAATGATGCTATTAGAGTATTTCAAAGAGATTTGGCATCAGACTATATCTCCCAGCCTCACTTGTGTAAGGACTCTCGTGTGGTTCAATGATGCTTATCCCACAGCAAGTCACACAGCTCCATCACATTGATCAACATGGCACAGCCTGTCCATAGTTCCACATTTTAAGTGAACAGAACATTTTTTTTGTACTCCTAAAATTAAAGATCTTCATGTTATCGTGAAACTAATATTTAATCCCTGGTCCAGCAAAACCTCAGCATTCCTCAAATATCAGAAAGGAATCTTCCGATCATATCCTAAAATTCCTTTTACAATATTATGGTAACACCAGAAGAGAAATCCTTCAGGATTTTACTTTCTGCACTTTTTTATTACCCCAGAGGTCATGGCATCCCTTTACTCTTCCTGTTTGGCTGGAGTTTTTCCATGCATTTCCTTTCATCAGGAATATTTGAATCTGATCTTTTAATTATATTCATGTCTTATATGGAAGGGGTAAGAATAAGGGTTTTCCCCCACTTGTGCCCTTTCTAATTTTGGGATGGTTGTGCCCTTTCTAGTTTTGGGTTGGTTTCAAGTCTCCTTTCACACCTTGACCTCTCTATTGCATAGTTTTGCAGAAAATATCAGTTTATAGTTCCTTGGTTTGCAAGCCCCTGGTTTCATTACCTTCGAGTTACTTACAAGGCTTCTTATTGTGGACATGCTTAGTTTAAACCATCTTCAAGTTTTACAATAAATTAACTTACTGCTATTTATATTTATTATCAAAATATCTGTTCACTGATAAGATTAAAAAAAAACTTCTACAGTTCAAATTTACATTTCTTCTGCAAATATGTTCAAAGATTTTAGCGTTGTTCTGCCAAATGTGTTTCTCCTCTAATTCAGTCTAGTTTATGGCCATTTTCCCTTTAGATCCTTTGGGAAAGTAGTTACTAAATTCTGCAGTATTATAAATGGAGGCCAGTTCTGAAATCCCCCCAGAGTTAGCAGTCATTTTCTCATATCTTCCCACACATCCAACACATTTGAAATCCACAGAGTATTTCCTCTGAGTATTTTCTGAACTAAATGACCAAAAAAAATGTTAATTTTACAGTCCAATCTCACAAGGCATCAGACATCCTGTGAGAGATACTGAAAACTTTTTGCTTCAAATAGCTTCAGCTTTAGCTGAGTGGTGGGGAGAGGCTGCACACAGCAATCTGTAGGATTGGGTCCTAAACTGTAGTTGTTAAATATCACCCATTAGTCCATAACTGTTCAACCCTTTCAGTATTAGATAAAATAGAAAAAAAACCCCAATGAAATCTTCAGTTGCCTGAGCATGCAACCACAGACTGGATAATATCAGTCCTCCATTCCTTGTTCATTTACAGTCCAAGTCAAAAGTAATTACTCATCTCTCAAAAGAAAGAGATCTGTTTACATACTTAACCCCACCTTCAGCGCTAAAGCCACATGAGTTTTGTGTCAGCAGCTGGCAAAACTCCAAAGAAAAGGGGATATTCTGATCTCCAAGCATTGCAGAAGAGCCAGAGCTCAGTGGTAGCTGATGTCCAGGGTCAGACATCACCTTCCTCCAGGGCTTTCCTCTGCCCCAGTCTCTACTGCCACTGGTCTCTGCTGTTGAAGTCCATCCACAACAACACATTTCCCAGGGCTCTAATTCAAATAATGGGTTTTTTCCCCGTGATTAGAAAAAAAGAATCAATAAGAAATACAAACCCTCTGTTTGTGTTCTTGACATCCATACATTAAAAACAAGCTAACACATATGGTACTTAAAATGCATTCCCATTACCCTTTATTTTAAAAGTACTATTGAAAGTACTACTAACTTTAAAGAACTATGCTAAATTCAAATAGGTCCCAAGGCTAATGGAAGCAATTTGTATACCAACCCAAACTGACTGGCCCACTTTTCAAAATACAGGTATGATAATCTTGTGGTTTTAAAAGGACATTTAAATTGAAAGACTGTGAATTTAGTACATAATTATACCAATAGAACCCTTTAACTTGTCAACTTGTAAATCTAAAAGGCTATCAATCATTTCTAAAGAGGAAATAAACCTTAAAATTCTTTGATTGACAGTGCTTACTTTTTATGTGGAAAAAAAAAAAAAAGGAGTAAAGTGGCCAGAAATCCATTTACAAAAGTACATTGTTTTACATAGGTGAGTAAAAAGCCAATAATTACACCTCCAAAAGACATATAAATCAAGGTAAGTACTTTTCCCTCACTTACATATTTTAAGTTGCAGTAAACTTCAGGTAACTTTTTATTAAAATACTTTTCCAAATGCAAAGCTTATTGAAGCCATTAATAGAGTAGCATTTTCATTTAAGCTAATATAATCATTTTTGCAAATACAAGATTTAAGCCATTTTTCTCCTTCCAAACAATAAACTTTCAGCCTGTCTCTTGTGTGAATTAACTAAAATTACACCCAGGTGTACAAAATCTGTCTATCTATCCTAGTGTATGAGTTAAGGCACAATATTTATTATTCTTACCATTTTATGAATTACTCCTTAAACCCTTGAGGAAGAACTTTCTTTCAAATTAGACTCTAACAGAATAAGCCATGAAGCTCTTTATTCAGCAAGTCTAAAGCCATAACTCATAAAATCTAAGGCTTTTAATCAAGAAAATGCACAATGTCAAAGGAAATAAGGATGTGTACATTATATTCATCTTTTCAAAGTCCAACTTATTTTTCAACAAAAACGCTGCTTATGTCTGTGAGAAAAAATGTTTCCATCATAACTACAATTTCAAATTCTTCACAAATAATTTTAATAACCACATGTAGATAATCCTCTATCTTAAAAAGTCTTTTTTTTTTTTTTAGCTAGTCAGTGGAGGGCTTTTTTTAATATTTCACATAATGAATTCCTACTGTGTCAATAAAGCTTTGGTTCTTAATTGAATGACTGTCTGATGTATCTGAGAGAGGAATTTGTTTCTCTGGCCATGCTGCCAACTTACAGCAGAATGATCGACACTTAATATCAGCAATTAAAAGGACCTGTTCAAATATCATATGGAATTCGTTGCTTGGGGTAGTGTAGGAGAACTCTTCACCAAGGAAAACTCATTCAGCAAATGCAGAGAGTAATTGAATTAGACACATTTTAACACTATTATTCAAAGAAAAATAAACACACGCTACATAGAAGCATTATGGAAATATTCAGAATGTAAAACATATCCAGTTAATTTGTTTCCCATGCATTCATGGTTTCATTTATTCCTTTTATTTTTCAGTCCTTGTTTCTTTTTCATTCTGTTTGACCCAAAACCAAAGAGAAAGCAGCACTTAGACCTATGAACTTCCCTTATGCTTTTCTAGTGGAAAAGGCTGCAAGGAGAGGGAAGGGACTCTAAGGGCTCAAATAACCAAAACCAAAAAAAGGTTGAAGGCTGCAAACAAATTTGCCTCAGGTCCACAGGTCTGACCGTCCCTATCTCAGAGGAGAAATCTGGTCTTGATTGTTTTAAGTGAAACACTCAGGGAAAGGCTATACATGGAATTAAATGTCCCACAGAGATTGCTCCTGTGGTGCACCAGAGTCACTGGTGTGCTTGGAGGGCAGAGACATAGTGGGGGAGAGTTTAAAGAAGGTGAGAATGTCCTGCAGCAGCTCAGAGCTATAATGGCCTCAGATTA